CTTGCTTTATAGTAACGAAGGACAATTTGTCTATAGATTAGGTTTATATGAATGTTCCTATAAGTATAATCAGGAAAGATAGCAATAGTAACATCATAATGAAACAAGATTAACAAGCATTTTGCATTTGGGCTCCGTTTAGGTCATAAAATATTTTTTTATATTTTTATATATAAAATAACCCTATTCCACTCTCAAACGAAATAACCAGCTATGGAAGAAAATGATATGCACAGCCATCACTGGTGATTTCTGTGGAGTCTTTAAGATTTGGAATTAGTTCAATTTCTCAATAAGCATGTAATATTATCGTAGCATTGGCAGCATTGGAGTGCATTTTTTTTGTTGGGTTTTTGGGTTTTTTTTGTAAAAATCATTCTACCGGAGTCTCTTTAACCTCATTTTTGGTATTATACTAAAAAGGATAGAAACAAGTTTGCCACTGTTTAACAATGCTTGCTCAGAGGATTGCTTATATATATGAAGTTATTTCTTTTGGAAGCTTGTCGCAGAATGCGGTAGTATTATAGAATTCATTTCAGTCTGATCTTTGCACTGCTGATATTTCAAAGAGTTTACTCTATGCTCCCTGATTATATCCAGGGTGCACAATGCTATTGGATGACATTTTCATTTTCCCTCTACGTGTCTCTCTCTCTCTCTAAGCATAATGATAGGTTTAGTCCAGCTGCTGATATAGCTTCAACAAGCTGTCACAAAGCTCAGGGTAATTCAAACACCATCTTGATAAAAAAAAAGATGGCACGGGATTTCTAAAGCTGAACTTGTCATAAAGTTGATACTAGAATTGTAGCAATTGTTACTTTATTGTTGCTATGGCATTATTTTAAGAGGTTGCTACTGAGCACCATGGGAGAAGGGGGTTCTGCTTGGTCCGTGACCACTTAGCTCCACTCTCCAAGTCCTATATTATGTCTCCCAGATTTTGCAGCAAGGTTAGGTTATATCAAAAATAGATGGTTTTTAGAGTATACTAAATCTTTAGTAGACTAGCAGATAAGCATTCAGCTAAACTGGTCACTAGTTGCAAAATAAGGTATAACTTGGCATTTTAATATATTCTCAGCAAAGTCTATTACATTGTAACTTGTCTTTACCTTTACGTTGAATTATTATTGTTATAGTTCATTGCACAGTCAGCAAGATGTGATTGTTATTATATTCTACTCTTGCTGCTGCAGTCTTAACTGGCAGAGTTTTTTTTTTCATTTATTAGCTTAGTTATATCACTCCCCATTTCCCAACCTGTGATTTTAACCTCTTTGCCTTTTTTATTTGCTTGTTATGTTTTTCTTTGGTACAGCTCACAAATTTATGTTGATATTTGATTTTTATCATATTTATTACTATGGATTTGCATTTGCTATTTTTATATATCAGCTTTTATCTATAATAATAATAATAATGATAAAGTTGGAAGGGACCTTGGAGGTCATCTAGTCCAACCCCCTACTCAGGCAGGAAACCCTATACCATTTCGGACAAATGGCTGTCCAGTTTCTTCTTAAATACTTCCAGTGTTGGCGCATTCACTGCTTCTGGGGGCAGGTTGTTCCATTCGTTAATTGTTCTAACTGTCAGGAAGTTTCTCCTTAGTTCTAGGTTGCTTCTCTCTTTGGTTAGTTTCCACCCGTTGCTTCTTGTCCTGCCTTCAGGCACTTTGGAGAATCGCTTGACTCCCTCTTCTTTGTGGCAGCCCCTGAGATATTGGAACACTGCTATCATGTCCCCCCTCGTCCTTCTCTTAGTTAAACTAGACATACCCAATTCCAGCAGCCTTTCCTTATATGCTTTAGCCTCCAGTCCCCTAATCATCTTTGTTGCTCTTCTCTGTACTCTTTCTAGAGTCTCAACATCTTTTTTACATTGTGGTGACCAAAACTGGATGCAGTATTCCAAGTGTGGCCTTACCAAGGCATTGTAAAGTGGTATTAACACTTCACGTGATCTTGATTCTATCCCNCTGTTAATGCAGCCTAGCACTGTGTTGGCCTTTTTGGCAGCTGCAGCACACTGCTGGCTCATATTTAGGTGATTGTCCACTAGGACTCCGAGGTCCCTCTCACAGTTACTACTATTGAGCAAGGTATTGTTGTGTACCTTTCAGAATCGCCTTGGCAAGATGGGCAGCTATATATATTTGATTATTAAATAAAATAAAGAAATGTTACATCCTTATTTGTACTTTTAGAATAATGATAATATGTCATCAGCAGTTGCTGACATTGTGCTATGAAATCACTCTGAATCCCTAGGTGAGCCATTGTGAAAATAGGTTGTAGAGTTAGGCTGTTGATTAACAGTAATGAATGGCCACAGTGGGGAAAAAAAGAGGAATTTGAAAGAGAAGAGATCTAATCTACATTCAGAAGTCTCTATAAGACTTGCAGGACTGATATTCAATTGGAGGTTAACAGCTTTCCCCAACTATGTGCCATCTACAGATAATGAAACAAACTCCTATAGAAGGTACAAGGTTGGAGTGGATTATGTACTCCAGAAAGAAACTGACAAAGGATGGACTGGAGAGATAAAGGACAAATAAATGAAATAAGATAAAGGAGATGATCAGGGGACAAGAAAAAAAGGAAGCAGTAAGCTGCCATGATCCCCAAAAGTTCCTGGCATGAGTACAAAACAGCTCCTCCAATAGCAGAAACTGCAACAGACTTTAAAGGCTGGTTTTCTTCCATCCTTATATTAATGCCCGATAGTAAATTGAACCTTTTCATGTCCATTAATCGAGTTTTATTTTAGTTAATAATCAGCATATCTACTCTCATTATAAAGTAAAACTAATTATAGTGTGATAATTGCTGTGCTTAGGCTGCTTCTATAATTGTAGAGAAAGTAAAATGAGCAAGAGAGTATTTTAATGGGGATTTTTGATAACTTTAGTAAACAAACTGGGTCTTAAGATTAATGTTCAGGACTCTCTCTCTCAGCCCTACTCATCTCAAAGGGTTGTTGTGGTGAAAATAGGAGGAGGAAAGTGTATTAAGTATGTTTCCCACCTGTAGTTATTTATAAAAAAAAATAATAAAGGCAGAATGAAATATAAATAAAAATAAATAAAATAAACCCAACCTCTCCTTAAGATATTCTTAATAAGGTGTGCATGTCATTTCCATGCATTTCAGCAACTTATTGGTAAAGACATATATTATAATCAGAAAATACCTGAACTTAATCTCTGAAACCTGATAGAAAAAAAAAACCAAGGAAGGGATTTCTTTGCATAAGATCCTAAAAACTTATAGTCAATTTAGATCATATATTTCGGTAGAAGGATGAATGCTTTGCCTTGATATAATATAACCTTTTAATTTGTGAACAGATATCCTAAGTAGGTAGTAGTAGTCATGTAGCTTCGATCCATGAGATCCCTCTGAAGGCAACAAAGTTCTAGTTCATGCTTTTTTTTTTAATCTTAAAAAAGAATAAAGTTTCAAGTTGCCCCAATGTCTGCCTTCTATCATCATTATTACCTATTTTCTTTGGAAGAAACTGTATTTAAATTTATTTCAATTCAATGTATTACTATGGAATTTGAAACTTAAATGTTCATGTTGAGCAAGCAATGAAAACACTAAAAAATAATTAGACTTTCTTTCTATGAATCCTCAAGCAAATAAATTAACATTTAAGTATTCTTCATCTCACTGGTTTCTATCTTCTTTTTTCCACAGGGTGCCCTGACAATTTTACCGATTCAAAATGTTTAAATCCCATTATGGCTTTTCAAGGTTGCATAAGACTCATCTTTATTGATAACCAGCCCAAGGACCTCATTTTAGTTCAGCAAGGCTCCCTGGGGACTTACAGTGATTTGCGCATTGATATTTGTGGCATCAAAGACAGGTAATTATTCTCCTTTTCCTTTGTCTTGTTGTTTTCTTTCAGCTAAGTGGTTTATAAGTGCAGTTTTGCTAGAACTGGAAATTTTAATATGCTATCATTATTAATATTAGGTTTAACAGAGTTGCTACTGCAAAACATCACTTCAAAGCAATGATAAAGTGTGTGAAATGTGTGTTCTCTCTTTCTCTCTCTCTCTCTCTCTCTGGCAGTTTGTGAAAGATGGAATATGCAAATTAAACCCTGCTATAGATTTGTGCAAGGATTAAATTATATACCCAAAGCACGTTTGACAGTTTTAAAGTTTAAATAAATAGCAAAGCCATTGTTTGAATCATCTAAATATGCCTTCTTCTCCACTTGTTTTGTTTGAACAAATGCTGAGTTGCATGCTATAGTGAACACTGTAGATTTTTAGAATAGAAGCAGAATAAAGTAATATGGATCTTGCTAGAAATCAAATTATTTTAGAAATCATCCTGAGGACCAGGCTAAAACACGAAAGCCGAGATTCATCCCTAATTCACTGGTCTAGCATTATTGTTAGTAACAAAGAGGAACTCCCTTTGTATAACAAGGCAGAGAAACTTTAGGAAACTCAGTTTCTTTTAACTCATAAATGATAAAGATACTGATATATAGCAATTAATCTAGAATTGTGAGCTAACATTTATTTTACTGGTTTGCTTTGTTTTTGAGAAATTAATGTATATCTGAAGCTTCTGTTGTTGTGTACAATCACCAGGCTTGACTTAAACATATATTTTAACTAAAAATATGAAATGAGAAACTAGTATCTTAGAAAGTGTAAAGCAGGCATGTCAAACTGCAGCCCCGCAGGCCGGATGTGTCATGCCAAAACCACACCCACCCCATTGCCAGCAATAGGGAAAAAGTTGTGATATGTTGCGCGATGTCACGTGATGTCGCGGGTTTGACATGCCTGGTGTAAAGTGTCTGATTTCAGCTTGGAACTTTGTTCCTAAGAATTTCTGTGGAACTTAAGAGTATAGACTTCATTGTCATTCTTTGAAATTAAAAAGGCAAATCATTGTGCCCCAGTGCTTTGCTGAAATGAATGTCTACCTTTCTAGAAAGACAATCCAAAAATGAAGCATTAGGAATACTTGGCTTCCCTTTTTTTCCCTATGGTTTTATACTTGAGAACTTTGTGATTTTTATTAGCCTGGGCCTCATGCTCCATGGTTCACTTATTCAGGCTGCATTAGTTGAGGAACAGCCCCGATACTAAAACCCTGCCTAAAGGAAATATGCATACAAGTAGTTACTGTAGTACTTGTAGATGTATATACGGAAGGTCTTTCCAGCAAAAAATCCTTTTCAGTACTGTTTGCAGACTGCGTCTTTGCACCCAGTCTGGAATGTCCTTACTATGCCTGAAAGTCTTTAAGGTGGTCATCTTCAGTGCATGCTTCTGGCAATCCTGATTTTGAACCACTTCAACCCACCCTGGTAGAGCAACATTGCTGGTTCACATTGGTTCATAATCCTCATCAACAAAGACAATCATGCTAATATGAAGCTCTCAAAACAAACCTAAGTCATTTTGATCTATCGTCTATCTATTGGATGTGATGATAGATAGATAGATAGATAGATAGATAGATAGATAGATAGATAGATAGATAGATAGATAGATAGATAGATGATAGATAGATAGATAGATAGATAGATAGATAGATAGATAGATAGATAGATAGATAGATAGATAGATAGATCTATTATCTATATTTCTGTCACTGAATATGTCAATAGTACTTTGACTCAATGAATCCTCCATCAAATCATCTCAGTTCTGTAAACTGAATCAGGTTTCTGCTTCAAAACAATAGAATGAAACAGGGCTCCAAAACCCTTCACAGCCTTCCAAAATGCCCTACAGATCCCCAAGTTTTTCTGCTATTGCTAAGTTTGCTGGGGAAGGTATATAGTGTGATTTCTACACTTCCATAGATAGATACTGCTAGAGATATGAGTGATGTATTGGACTTTTTGATACTGCAATAGGCTGCACTGAAATATGTTTTGGGATTGGCATGGGTGTACTAGTCGCTCATCCTTAACTGTGTTTTGCCTGAGATCACAGGGCTACTGTGTGAGCCCAGGAATACATGTGCCTTCTTTAAGGAGGTATTAACAGATGTGTGTCTATTCATGCCTGTTCCAAGACAGCTTTTCTTCTTCTAACTGAAACAACTGCACATTCCTGCAGTGGTCTATTAATTGTATCCCTGGATTAAACTCTCTTCCTCTCAACTCTTGTGGGGTGGCAAGGCTTAGATTGCTTTGGGCTTCATGCAGCTCATCAGCTCTCAACATCTTTCACACCTCTTTAACAGCTTTGCTGTTTCTTCTTGTAATGGAAAACACAAGTGGTAGTTTAGTTAAGCTTTTAGTATCCCAAATAAGGGCTCAAAGATGTTCAGTCCATTATCCTATATAAATTATAGGATTAGGTTGTTCCACAAATGTGGCTCGTAATTTGTGAAGGAAACTGAACCATTTCAGGTTTAGTGAAGACAATTTGTATGCCTTTTAATGAATGTTCTATTTAGCTCATTGATAATACCCAGTGAATATGAATGTGAATACCTTTGTTGGATATTTTAAATAGCAAAGTAGTCCTCGACTTACAACTACAATTGACTCCCAAATTTCTGTTGCTAAGCAAGACATCTGTTGATTGAGTTTTGCCCCATTGTACATATTTTGCATATTTGTTAAGTGAATCACTGCAGTTGTTAAGTTAGTAACATGGTTGTTAAGTGACTCTAACTTCCCCATTGACTTTGCTTGTCAAAAGGTCACAAAAGGTGATCACGTGACCCCGGGACGTTGCAACCCTCATAAATATGAGCCAGTTGCCAGGTGTCTGAATTTTGACCACGTGGCCATGGGAATGCTGCAACGGTTATAAGTGTGAAAAATGGTCATAAGTCACTTTTTTCAGTGCCATTGTAAATTTGAACAGTCACTAAATGAACTGTTGTAAATTGAGGACTACTTATATTTTGAGAAATACAATAGAGGCTGGTATTTACAGGTATTTATAAAATCCTTGACATTCTTACAGTTCAAAGGAGATTTTGACGATCACTGCTGTTACTAACTGTAGAAATCTAGGTGGGACCAATTCAGGGCAAATAAATGAAAACATAGGAACAAAATTGTCTTAGTGTGTTGGGGTGGAACAATGTCTTAGAGAAGCTTTTTTTATTACCTTGCATCTTTATTATTAAAATGTAAAGAATATGGGATTGCACATTAAAATAGAGATGGTTCAGATTTCAGTACCACGATGAAATATAATCCATCTTCATCTTTTCCAGTAGCATTAAAAACTGAAGCAGCATTGAAAGCAAATCCCAGAAACTGAGTTTTTTTTCCTAGCCAATATATAGATTTGTGTCATAATGGGATCACTATCTTGTCATTGAAAGCTTTCATGGACTGTGATGTAAGAAAGCTGTTTCAAACAGCAGCTCTGGTTATGTTTGTGAAAGGAAAGGTAGAAGCAGTTGCTTTTACAACTCAGGTCTATATATTGGTTATATAAAACTCAGATCTCTGGGATTTCCCCATTAAATGGATCACTATCTTGTCATCGAAAGCTTTCATGGGCTGTGGTTTAAGAAAGCTGTTTTAAGCAACAGCTCTGGTTGTGTTTGTGATAGGAAGGGTAGAAACAGTTTTTTTTTTCCCTGCAGGGAGTGACTGAGGTCGCTTTTTTTAGCTTGCTAGTGGTGTGAGGGGAGTCCTTCATGCGTTCCCACTCAGCGGTTGATAGCATTTATTACTTCTGATTCTTCTAGGTATTTTCTAAAGAAAGGGAAAAATAGCAGTACAGTAGTCACCTCCTGCAGAGAAGGCAGCCGCTGTTGATTAACTCCTTCTTTCAAGTTTAGATTGGGCTCTGAAGACTAACTAAGAGAGGCATGTTGAGATGGGTCCTTTTCTAAGAACTGGAGACTGAGAGAAATAAAAGGGACTGACTTCTACAAGGGAAGTTGACTGCTGCTGTTTCTTTATTTAACACTTAAATTGGGCTCTACATATTCACTCACGGGTTTCTTTTTCCTTCTTTGTGAAACATGCTATGGGGTCACCTGATAATTTCTGGAGAATAAAAGAACAAAGAGTACTTGCTCGGATTGCATCTGTTCTCCTTCATTACTACAGCTTTTTGCAGTCAAATAATATTCTGAGAAACTGGATCAAATGTACTTTTTTTTCCTGAATTCCTTCCTATCTTGGTCTCCATGGTGGGCTTCTCCTTTTGATCACAGAACCTTTATTTTACCTGCCAGGTATTTTTCTTTTACTTTTATTTATTTATTATTTTCACATATTTTTTATTTAAAAAGTTCCCCTCCCCACAGGTTAAAAAACAAATTTTAAGTTAAAAGTAGAGAAATAGAGAAAAGTAACAGAAAAGTGAAAAGGAAAAGATAAAAAGAAGGAAAAATAGAAAAGCAAGTACAATACAAAAGAGGCTTCTGATCTACTTAATAGGAGTTATAAGTACATTTAGATTTTAGTCTTTCTACGGTTACATCAAACTTCTTTCTATATTCTACTTTTTTTAACGATCAGATACAAAAATTATCAGTTCTTTTTTTTTTTCCAGCAAAAAGTCCATAAGGGATTTTAATTGGAACAGATTTTGATCCACCAGACCCAAATCCTGAATTTTGGCCTTTGGGATTATGTTGTGCCATAGATTTACACTATTGTCTGGAAGTAGTCAATCTATATGCACCATAACATAAATTGTCTGATGCTGTATTGCCATCTCAAGGCTGGGGAAGGCAAAAGGCAGGTAACAGTGATATGGGGGAGTTGATAAAATTACAATTATTTTCTATAGTTGGAATCCATGATTTATTTTATTTATTTATTTATTAAATTTATATGCTACCCATCTCATCTAGAGGTGACTCTAGGTGGCTTACAATCAATAACAACTATATAAAACAATGAAA